AATGCAATAAAACATGTACACATTCAATAAACACATACTTAAGGCAGTTAAGTGCAGTGAACTTGGGAGGACCAGGGCCAATGACATCAAAGAAAAGGAGAAAAATTTGGGATTTGTGCTACTGGAAGCATCTCAAAGCAGGATGGTGCAGAGTCACATAGATTGTATGAGAGGAGAATACAGGTTGTGTCATTCTGGAAATATAAATACCTACCAGAGATGATAGGGAAAAAAAAAGAAAAACCTGTGACGAACCTCCTTCACTAAAGCACATGCTCTCAAATCCAGGACCTAAATCATTAAATAGACTCACAGACTAGTTAAGGTTTGCAGGGATCTCCGAAGACTGACTAGCCCAGTGCCCCTGCTCCAAGCATGGTCAGCAAGGCTTCCCCAAAGGAGTCCAGTTTGTTCCCATCACTGTACTTAAATAAGCTGATGGAAGAACAGTATTACTGGTCTTGCTTTTTTTTCCAAAACAATATAATGTTTAAGTACATATTTTCTGATCGTTTTCATCCAATTTCAATGAACTCCCAGGCACTGTGCTGAAGATCACAATCACTATTTGTTGTTCTGATAAAGGTTCTCTCAGGACTAGACAACACTTTTCTGGCTAACAGCATCAATACTGTAAGAGCACAATAGTGCAAGGAAGTAGATATGGTAGAGTTTACAAACAACTAAAGATCACATCTAGGGTAGGGACTGTGTCTCCTCTGTTTCTGTGAATTTTCACTCTTGTACTCAAAATAATTACAGTATCTTCTGTGGGCTGAAAGTTATGTATTGTTTTAAAAATGTGCAGAATTTGAGACACAGTCAGAATTCAGCAAATACAGCAACCGCCGTCTATGCGGTCATTACCTTCTTGAAACAAACTCAAAAGACCTGATGAAGATGCAAAATACAAGCAGTTACGGTAATATGACAGAAGACATGAAGCAATAGTGTGGAAAAATCCATAAAAATGGAATTTTAGCAGAGACTGGGGCTACATTTAACACAGGAAAAAGTTCATAAAGTCCATTTCTAGAGAAACAGGTAGTGAGCAGTAACAGGCGGACAACCACGTGAAGCAATGCTCCGGCGAAGGAGAAACAGAGACCTGAGCTACGAGCACGCTGAAAAACCAGAGAGGGGAGTAGTGTTGTCACATACAAAGTCCTTGATCTCCTCAAGAAGGAGCCCACCATGCTCACAAAAGCTGGATGGTGACCAGCAGGTACAAAAATTTAAATTACAAAAAAAAAGGGGAGAGAGGGAAAGGTAGCATGCAGGGACTACTGTAACAAAATGGTTTTGTTTAAAATTATTTCAGACACAGAGCAACTAGTCATCACCTGATTAGAATGCGACATATGTTTCATTAGACAGAGCTACCAAATGTCTGTACACTCAGCTGCACTGGGGATAATAAGCTCCCATTTGCTATAGGCACTGTGTGTTCTTTTCGTTTTACTTCTAGTGGCAATTAACCCCCCTGTTATTAAGAAAATTGAGCTAAAAGTGGAAGACAAACACACTCATTTGCAACGCTGAAGAAACAAAGATCCTTTTACATTTACCCACTCCTACAAATGGGCTTTTACCTCTGAAACTTTTAAGATACAGTGAAATAAATTAAACCTTCTTCTTGAATTAGCATTTCCCAAACCTCCCAGGCCAGAAAACCCACACAACTCACAGGCGCTTTAGGAGTCTGGGCTTCCCTTCCGCAACTCTGTCTCCTTGGAGTTTGCGTCCCAACTGTAGGTTGTGCCTCTAGTTTGGGACCACCATCCTAAATCCTGCTACTGGAGATAAAAAGCTGACTTAGCATATGCTCTCTAAAAGGTATTTTCTCTAACAAAGATTTAAAAAAGCCCCACAAACACACTGAAATATGAAGAATACAGTACTCTTGTACTGAGTGTTCAAATGCATGTAAGCGATCCAAAGTCGCAGACAAGAAAATTCAGCCCCAGCTCAAGCAAAGATCATCCAAACAATCAAGGAAAGATTTTACCCTCAAACCTCCAAAAACTAAGTTAATTTGTTTCTTAGGTGGAAAACCAGGAACAAATTCAAATAGCGGCCAAGATGATGCTTGAAGCCTGGATGAGAGCAGCGCAGCAGCTGGAGAGCACGTGGAGGTTACCTGCTGGAGGAGCGATGGCATCAAAAGAAAAATAAAGAGCAGTTTATTTTATCATGGGGAGTGAGAGGTCAGTTTGTGCAGAGTTGGGGAATGCTATAAACCGCGGTGATCTTTGCCCAGTGTAAAGGGAGAACAGCCTGCCATACCCCAATGGGATTGTACTGGATGTTTTAGTTACACAAGAGAATATAAAACAGAATTTGCAGAACTACCTGGCTTCTGCCACTGTCTCTTAACCCCCGACAGCACGAGCAGCAGTGGTCTGTTTTGACCAGTGCTCAGGTGGCCTCGTTTTCTGACTGCAGTCAGTGGCACGCAGAGAACTGCACGCTACATATTTGCTCTTGCAAAGGGTTTTTTTGGTTTTTTTTTTTTTTTTCCTGCTTTTCTCCCAACCGCGTTCCTGGGCTGTAACAGACGTATACTACCAGTGTTCTGCCCCTGGGATGCACCATCTTTGCTGCAATGTGTACCACCAGTGCGAGACGGCATTTGTCAATGCCAGAAGGAAGAATAAGGAGGGTTTGGCTGTACAGATAGTTTTAAAAGTTTTGGGTTTTCAAACAAAAGAGCTAAAGGAACGTGCAAGATTTAAGCAGTCTCTGCATATATGGTACAAAAGCAATCTGAGGGGAACAGCACTTAGGTCACACTTTTGTGATAGGTAGGGAAAAAGGGAAAGACAACAGGATGCTAACAGTGATGGATATGCTGCTACTCCTCATTTTCTGAGCTAAATCAAAATTTGAAGAACACGCTTTATGTTTGCAGGCAGACAGCTGTAATGCTGGTAACTATTCAATTACAGACAACAGGCAAGGTGTTCTGAATAATCACAAGCAAAATGAGGGAGAATATCCAAAAGATGCATTCAGGTGTGGCCCTCACAGCTCACTGTTGCTAACAATACTAAGATTCCCAGACCTTTTTGGCAGCTTTTTTTTCTTTTTTTTTAAAAGTTCCATTTTATATATGGGAATTAAAACAAAAATCCATTAGCAACAACTGGCAGAAAAATACTGTTCTGAGACATAATCAGCCTCAACAGAACAACCCGATCCATGTCTGTTCCTGCATTTGGAAGACCAGATTTTCCTGGGGCAGACGATGGTAACCTTTGCTCATTCATGTTGCCTATATTTGGATGCACGAAGTATGTTAGTTCAGAACTTGTCAGGGCTTGTAGACTTGCAGAAGAGTTCTTTGGACTTCGTCCCCGGGCTGGCTGCAAACTCGGATGAAGGCTTGGAAGCAAAGGAAGGAGAGCAGTCAGGAGATCAGACCTGCAGATGGGGAGAGGCTGTCCAGCATCAGTGCAAGGTGTCCTCTACAGAGACACAGATCCCTCCTTTCACCCCTCCTCACATAAAATATGCCATAAATTCTACTAGGAATTATAGCCTATTTCCTTGAACCGAAAAATGTTTTGGATGTTTAAGGGCTCACTACAGCTGCAACTTCTGTGCTTCGTTTGAAGCACACTGCAGTTGTTCCTGGACATTCTTGTATTTTTCTCTGTATTCTTGTTTGAAAAAATGACATTCCAGCCTTGTTTAACTACCTCCTAGAAGCAATTAATATTAGTCCCTAGAAAGGAAATGCAGTATTATATATTGTACACTGGCCCAAGTGACTGGAACAGAAATACCTCTGAAGATTAGGGCCTCAGTGACACAATCACACTGGTATCAGGAGGACAGCAAAACGAGGCCTGTCCTCATTCACCTCAAGACAAACTATTTCTGGCACAGGGTGTACTTCTTTTAACAAACGTTTTCCAAAATTATCTTTGCATAATGATCAGCGCAGAGATGAGACAACTGAGGAGGGGCAGAAAAGCCTAAATCCCTCAGTGATGTGCACATCACACTCAAGAAACTGGAGCAGTTGCTACATCTCTACAAATTCAGAAGGGTCCTACCACAAGAAATAAGAACCTAACTTGTTAAAGCAATTTTTATTTAAGTATTTGGAGGGAAACTTTCATATAATGAGTAAAAATACTAGAGTTGAGCGTTGTTAAAAAAAAAAAAATCAAGATGACGGGCTCTCTGTGCAAATGCAGCAGTTTCTGATGGAAAGGGGAAGCGAGGGTTTTTATAACATACTCCCTTTCAAATAAAATAATTAAATGCTAGTTAATTGCAGTACATGTAATTTTTTATACAGTCAAGAGAGTGGGAAAAAAAGCGCAATTTAAGAGAACGCAACCTACAATGGAATAAATTCATTCGCAGCAGAGACAGAATAAGACTGCTTTTATGAAAATTACAAAGAAACATGATACAACAAAAATAGGGCGTGGGGAAATTTCCACTAAGATTAAAAATGAAAAACAAAAAAAATTTCACTTTTTGAACACCATTATTATTCAAACACATATGAAGTTTCAACCTAGTTTTTTTTCTTACACATGGGAAACACTGTTAAAGTGAATCTTCAAGAGTGAGAAGGCACCATGAACTGTTGGCTGATACCTTTAATGCACACTCAAGAAAGAAGAAATGATCTGGCATGATGCAAAAAATCATTACGTGTTTATATATATTCATATATCTTTTCATTAAAAAAAAGCGGCAACAAGTCATTACTTCAGTGCCAAAATGTACTTTTGTCTGGTTGACTCACTCATTAAGATGATTTCTCACTTAGACCTGTATGGTATTTTTATACAGTGGTGAAAGTGGGTGATTTTGCGTTGTTACATTTCATATTAGGTTGGTAAATCAAGCATTTTCTAGGTTCTGAGAAACCAATCCTATGAAGTATTCCTAAACTCTATACAAATGGAATAATTAAAATGCACTGTCTAGAATGGAATACTCATCTGTATGACGTGGCAATTCCACTGGATTCAGTTTGATATGTAATGTCTTGTAGCAGATGTTATAACAAAAATAACTTTTGCTTTTTGATTTACCTCACTGAGGCCATTAATGCTGTTCCTATAGTTGGTTTTCTGGAGTTGGATGACACTTCACTGCTGTCCAAAATGAGTTTGAACCTTAACCCTCCAGAGTTTGTTCACTTTGTTGCTTACATTATTGCACTAGCTACTAAAGTCTTATATCTTCCTATATAAATCTAATTGTTCAGAGTGCAGATTCTATATTTAGATAATGAACTGTATGAAATAAATAAAATAAGGGGATTTTCTGGTCAGAGTTGCTGATATGTTGAATACCTTAATTATTTCTAAAGTAAACAGTTTTGGTGTATATTCTTAAAAACCTATGGTCATTCAGCATAAAAGCCTTGACATAATACTTTAAGAATGGATTTGTTTTCCTTCTCAAAAATGCATCAAAGAATTGTTTTAAATACAGAATCTGTGAGGCTTCCTACAAATTCATCTAAATCGTAATACAAACACAGTTTGTAATTCAGATAATATAGAAAGTTCTCTAGTGTCCATTGAAGTAAGGTCCCCAAAATGCAGTCTCTTTTTTTTTCTGAATGGGAAAACATTGCAAAACATTAAGCGGTTCCACTGGCTGAATAGGAGAACTGAGGAAAATGAGGTCTTCTCTCGTTATCTACACAATCCATGCTGTCATCTGAAAAATGAAAAAAAACCACAGTAAACAACATTTGCTGCCTTTTAAAGTAAACAAACAGTAAGATAATCCACGGTAAAATTATTTCAGAAAATTTCACTCTCGCCTTCTTCTTCCACAACTTGAAAGGACAAAGAAACAGGAAGTTTTAATCGCCCCCATTAAATGGGCATCACAGAAGATCCCGATTGTTGTATGTAAACGGTTGTTCAGATGTCCACTTAAAATTGCTAGGAGCTGCATTGCTTAAATCCATATTCAGAGTTCTGAATTTCTGGCAATTGCTATTTCAGAGCATCAAATGTGCTCAATTACCATGAAAATAAAATATATTTTGATTGAATATGGACACTAGTCGATACGCAATTGACTGCTTGCATATACAGAGTGTGCGTGTGTGTGTGCGCGTGCGCAGATGTATGCACGCAAAACTCACGAACAAAATTATTTTCCAGTGGGAATGTGCAGGTTTGGAAAAGACAACAGTACAAATAATTCCACTATCTTCTAAAATAGGTTTTTCATTTCCTAAACTGGAAAGACATGTGGAAGGTTTCACATCAGTTTACCAACTTCTTGATCAAAAACATATATGGAAAACCAGCAAGTTTAAACTGATGCTTTTTGACATGGTCTAAAGAGACCAGGTAGAATTACAGCAAATTATTTCTGGTCATCTGGAGAACACAGCAGGCAACATTTGGGAAAACTTTACCTTGGTCAGGAGGAGTGATTGTTATCATCTGTGCTGTAAATTCTTCATCAAAATATCTTGTATCTGTTTCAGATGTAACTTGTGGCTTAAATGGAGGTACAAGCTATGAAAACAAAAAGAATACTGTTCATTTTCACAGGTTCTTGCAGTTATGTTTGAAACAGGTAGAATTTGAAATACGAGTTATAAGCTACAGTGCCTCTTCCTACATTCCTAAAATAAAGTTTAAAAAACGCCAGTCCATAAAGAAGGAGCCATATACAGTAGAAAGTATTTCTTTAGGGATGCACTTCCTATTTATGGGGCATTTAAGGCATTTCATCTCTAGGATTTAAATGTATAAAGAAAACCCTAGAATCGTAATGTTTCTTCAAGCAACATGCTTACAAATTTTAAAAATAATAGTATATACTGATTGCCCACCTAATTATATGGAAATTGTCAGCTGCCTCTAGTCAGATTTATCCTTGAGGAGGATGAAAATGAGTAAGAAAGATGCTCAGTGATACCAAACTGACCAGCTAGACTTGCTTATGACCACAAGGGTTGTAACATTCACAAAAAAATTCGAGCTACAGAGCTACTGTGCCCATGCAGCTCCGACTGCAACTGTGCTGTAGGTCAGAGAAACCCGTGAGAATTTAGGACAAGGCAGCAGCAACATTAAGCATTCACACTCCTGGTCCCCAAAAGTGGTTTGCTATCAATTCTGAACTTAGAAAATCTGGAGGGCTTAAAAAAAAAAAAAAAAATTGAGCGTGTTTAGCGGTGAACGTTCTCCTCTTGTTTCACCAAGAGTCGCACTATTTGGGGTTTATTCTTGACGCTCACTTGGGCAGACAGGCTAGAAATCATCCATGTGTACCTAGGCAAGCTCTGGCAAGAGGAACTCCAGATGGAGCAGAGCTGCTTGACTGGGGCTGGAGGAGGAGCGCGCCTGCGAAGCGGGGTGGCGGAGCTGGTTACATACAGATGCACAGAGTTGGAACACGTACAATTTTGGAGGGCAACGGAGCTGGGAATCAGCCTCGCTCACCTCCCCGCTGCACAATGCGGTAGAAACAGAATGTAAACACTGTTCTTAGCCATCCCACAGAGGACATATAATAGCTCTCAGCGCTGGGCTTCGGTTCGCCCACCACTGGGGTTAAGCGTGGACATCTTTTAATAGCACAGAGCTGCACCAGGCAACAATTTAGGAGCGTGATTGAGGAAGTATATGGCTTCCAGTCTGAAACTGCAGGGAAAGGTTTATCAAGGCAAATGGTAAATTGTGCCAACAGGAATTAAGCAGTGACCCTGAGACTGGCACTTCTGTTCTTACAGAAATAAGAATGACACCAACAGAAATCACTACCTGCAAAACATCAGCAGATCTTAAATGTACAAAACACTTCTTCCCCACCCCCAACTCTTCCTTCAGCTTAGATCTTAGAATCATTTGCTTGGCAAGTTGGTAAATAAGAAAAGCACTAGCTTCAAGCTCCCCATCACCAAGATCATCTTTCTGATCTGTTTTGAAAGCACCTACCAGAGTGTTGTCCTGTCTTACAAACAACGATCCAATAAAGCTCCTTCATTTTCAATGTAAAGACTTTAAGAAGTATAATCCACACATGTGATCTTTCCAGATACAAAGAAACATTCTACAGTTTAAAACCAATCTTTAAAGATTAAGGGACATAAAAACTTTGTTTGTTATAAGAGAACACAATTACAGTGTATATTCATAATCTTTTTTTTTAAACTATTAATGATCCTCTGTGCCCAAGGATGGCTTGAAGGAACCTGGCAAATGCTCCTGTCAAAGAAAATTAGGTCCTTAGAACTGGTCTTTATGTCCTGAATTTAAAAAGGTAAAGGAAACAGGATATCCCCAAGCCACAAGTCACTAAACCTTACAGTCCTCCTGAAGCTATTGAAGAGGGAGTGCTTTGCATTATAATGTTAGTAACACTGTTCTCAATCAAGTCAAACCAGCATATTACATGTAAAAACCCTGTTGAGGATGAGCATTCTCTCTTTCACATTTTAACTTTTTCTCCTACAGCATTTTTCTGCCTACTCCTTAAAGCGAGCCTTGGTTTGTTTTTGACAAGCTGTGTGTGCACGCCTGTGTGAAGTTCTATCTGTCCTTTTAAGCTAATGGGGGTTTTGGCACTCGCAATGCTCCCAGTTGCTGTAGCTTGCTGTGCGCAGCAGAGTGATTTAGGACTTGGGCACTGCAGCAGACACCTGAACTACGCACATCGGAATGACTCTGAGCAGCAATCCTAAGTCAGAACACACGTGTAATGGGCTAGCGCTGCCTGTGTAATTTTCCTTTTATTTTAGTATCTGTTAAAAGCAATTTGAGACAGATTATGATGCACCCACAAGACAATTTTTTTCCTCCTAGCTGTCAAATTCAGAACATTAAGCTGGAAACAGAGGGGAAGCCGCAGAAAGCTCTAACGCTGCCTTTACCAAGCAAATATGTTGCTTTACTGAAAAGCTGTCACTGCAATAGCTCTGCAGTTCAGCTGGCAGAGAGGTGCCACCTGTAGCCTCCCACTGCTGCAGACCAGCATGATACCCCCAGGCTTATGTTGGTTTAAGAGACAAAAAAGACCAGGGAAAAAAAGGTGATTAAAATCTCATTGCATGTGTTTCGCTTGTGGGTGGGCAAAATACTGCAAATTAAATCGCACCTTTCTTTGCACCAGAGACAAATAACAACACTCTTCCAGGAGAATCTAATGAATATTTTAAATTCTTGGGAAAACCCCAGTTATTCAAAACTCCTTATAATTCAAAGCAAAGCTATGTTTCCAAAAATCTTAATTACAAAGTAAGTGTTCTCGATTACCCCAAGCCTATATTCATAAACACATGCCCCATTATCTGGAAATAGTGGGTAACCAAGCTTAGCACATGAACACCTCTAGGCAGCTGACAAAATTCAGCTTTTATCCATGAGACTGCATCTCAGGTAAATGCTGCAGGATCCTCTTTGGACCACCCAGAACATAGGCAGCGATTACGCACAGGCTTTCTGAAACCTCTTCGTTTGCACAGCGTGGCTGTTTCTAGAGTAGGTAATGGTTTACATCTAATTGCAGATGCACAGGCTAATGGGACAGGACTAAAACCAGAATCCAGCCTCCTTGGATATGCCAAGGTCAGAAATAGTCTCAATTAGCACACTGTTTTCTCCAAAATATGTAACATTGGGAATTTCCTGGTAGTTTCCACAACAATCTGAGTCAGTACTACTAAGGGACAATTTACAAAGGTTTTCTCAGTCCTATGGATAAATAAATTGCCTCCAGCTTGTGTGATTTCTCTTCCATTCAGGGAAGCAGGACTACTATGAAATAACAAATAACTTCACTGAAGATATTTGAGACCTGTTATCAGCTTTTTACCTGAAACTGCAAAAACATAGCAAAACCCCAAGTATTCAGCTGGGTGAAAATGGATATAACCTCCTGTTTAGAACAATAATTCAGATATACTTTTTTATATTACACTGAATAAACTCCATACAACTCCCTCCTGCCCTCATGGCTGCACGCAGCTTGCTCTCTAGGGATGCTTTGAAAGGACAGAGCTCTAAACTATCTACACTTTCAAGGCACAAAAAATATTTTATGATGTTTCAGTTCCTTTTAGCCACACAAATCTGTGAGGAAGTGAAAGAAGAGAAGGTAACAGAGCAGTCTTTGCAATTGTATACAAGCACTGGACAATTCTCCCACTACAGCATGGAAAACAGCAGTGATATGCTCTATTTTTTTAAGAATATAACAAACATTGCTAATACACCAATTGTATTAGTTTTACCAAAAGAACGCAAAGAATTAAAATTCGGTTTCTGGTAAGTTTTTTATCTCCTCCCACCAACTGGAGAGAGAACTAAACTGTGTTTAGAGATCAAACGAGATCTGGTATCATGAGGGGCTGCAGGGGGAAGGAGAAAAATCAGGAAAGACTGAGATTGAGTGAGATCATCTGGCATCAGTGGTTGGGAGCCTTGAATCACTAGACCCACATTTTAGTTAGCTGCGTTCCACGCAAGTGTGACAGAAAATATGGCTGGTGAGAAACCAGTGGGAGAGGACAACAGCAGATCACCCTGAAAGCATGAAGCAGGGCATCTTGGAGGACTGGAGTAAGTTATCTGTGAACGAAGGGACAGTGAGGCACAAGACAACTGATGAAATACGCTCATACAGAAAGTGCTGGGCTCTTTCAATTCAGTGGCTCCCACTGGAAAGCCTACGAATTCAGTGGGTCTCAAGCAAAACCAATGAGAAACACTATGAAGTGCAGACACTTCACATCAGCCCTCTGTCACCAAAAAAAAAGAAACATATTAGGCTTGGATTGATGTACTTCTCTGCACTTGCCTATTAAGTCTAATTTCATCATTCAAGACAGGAAAAATGCCAGCAGCCAGCCCAGCTTCCACTGCTGCTTCTAGGAATTTTTGCTTCAAATGCTCAGGAACCAACAATAACTCTGGGGCTCTCAAGGGATACGTCAGTTGACAGCAAGGAATAGCAACCAGAATTCACAGCAAAAAACATTTTAAAAGCTTATATACTGTCTAAATTCAGAAGCAATTTTGGTTACATCCTATTTATTCAGTCATAGAAACAAGGATCTCATTGAGAGATACTCTTCTCGTTGTAAAAAAAAAAAAAAGCTTTGGTTCACAAGTAATCTGATTACAGCGTTTTAAGAAACATGAAGCAATTTAGCCTTGTTAAAAACAACTGCAAACCTCTTCTGTGGAGGGCTTCTGTGTACTTACAGAGGGCAACAAAATTTGAAACATTCGATATATCCACAGCTATAATTAACCTTGGGAGAACAGTTGTACAAGTACCTTTTTCTCGTATACATCTTGCCAAACAATGCCAGCAAAGAATTTGTGCTGCATAATCTCCTTGGCATCATCAGGACCGCCACCTAACCTGTTTGAGGCAAAATAAGTAATTAAATGTTTGAGTAGAGTTATTCTTCTCATACAACTTTTATTGAACGGTGGTGAGGAAATTCTGAGTTTATGTAACACATTTGGGAGCAGTTCTAGCATTTGCTTCACATTTGGTTTTGTGCAAGGGCTGCAGGATAGTCTATTTTAGGCTCCAACACAGTTCCACTGAAAGATTTGAAAACATGATATCAAATAGAATTAGAATAAAGGTCTCTCTTAAACAAATTAAAAATAATAATAATCACAATTCAAAAGACCTGCCCTTCAGGAAAGATGCTGTCCTGGGGACCACAGCAGATCCTGCAAGTAAAAGCCACACACCCATCTCTCTTTCTACATTAACAAACGACTACCCTTAAAATTTTCTAGAGCAGAGTGATGCCAGCAGTAAAACTGAATTTTATTTTTGAAGTGTAAGAGTCAAGGATTTTTAAGACAAACTGATTTATGCAACCTGATTTAAATTTCCATTAAAGAAAACAGTTGACAACTGCAGTGATGATATCGTGTTGTATGCAAATCTTCCCTCATCCTTGGCTTCATGAAAACACAAAGGGTGTTTTATCGACTTAAGGTATATCAAGATAAAACGCACTTATTCCAAAATAAAACTGTCCGCACAGCTTATAGATGCAATCAGTTTAGTTGCAGTCTTGAGCTAACAGATGCTTAAATTTTGCTGTGGAGGTTAAAATGTTCTCTAAAAGGCTGAACCCCATCTGCAAGCAAAGGCATGCACTGAGAAAACACACATACCGAGCAATCAGCAGGAGACTTCCTTTCAGGTAACAAGGTTAAGACAATGCTCAGGATTTTAAGTACAAGAGGTACCACCATGTTCATCAAGGCTGACCCTCTAGTATCTGCCTGTTCTCTGACTGTTGGTGCCACTGGCAAACTGAGATTATTATCCCTATTTTAAGAGCTTGGAGCAATGGCTCTGTGTCGGCAAGGCTACAGCTATACCGCTACAGAAAAAAAGAGGACAAGGACTGCTCTTTGAACCTGAAGCCAAGCTGCCGGGTCAGGCCTCATCCTGCTGCACAGCAGTTGGCCCTGAATCTCCTCTGGGCCACATGTGGTAACCCTGCATCCCTAATGCACAATTATTTGGGTCTAGAGGGGAGTGTTTTGGTTCAAAATATCAGAGATCACACGAAGGCTGTGCTAAAGCTCATTGAAGTGGTACTTTTACAGCTTGAGACTGCACTGCATGCTCTGGGACGTAGCTTGAGGGCACAATGCTACTGGGACAGTGCTGGACGATCGTTTAGCACGAAGGAGTCAAATACGGTGACACTTCGTCCATACTGCCAGCTGGGAATGGAACCTGCTGCATGCAACCCTCTGAGCCATGCCCGAGCACTGTCTTCAGAGAACGCAAGCTGGCAGAGGCCATAGCTGTACCAGAGTGACCAAGCAGCAGAGGTGCCTGGCAGTTCAGAGTCCATGCTTGCTTCCTGGCCCTCTTCCATTTAGTGGCACAGCAACCAAAGGGGTTTGCTCCTTCACATTCCTTCAGGAAATGTGAAGTGGAACAGGGAACAGGTCCCCAAGTCTTCCAGTAGCAAAGTGCTGGGTGATGCTTTTCTTCCCCAGGTAAGCTCTAAGACCAAGCCTAAGTTCACCCTAGAGCCCCACAGGCCAAACCAAGCCGGAAGGGCTCTCCCATGTGCCTGGCAGCAGGTATACAGCTGCACAGCAGCCTGGAACAGAGACAAACTCCAGGGCAGCCTGGGAACAGACACAAACTCTGTGAGTAATCATCTCTCGGCTGGTTCCCCACCGGTCTAGAGGCTTTGCCAAGTCTCTACCATGCTCCTTATTGCTTCCCCAGCACAGATGATGGTGAAGAAGAAGGTGGAGTCGATCCTCTTTATCTACGGATGGAAAGAGACTGCACTTCTGCACAGAAGTTTGGGGGTGATGACCATGAGCTAAGAAGAACCTCAATCATGTTTTGCAGAAGCATGCAGGAAGGCTGGCTGGCTGCAGCCGTGTACAAGTGCTTTGGAGGATACGTTATCTAATATGAGCCTTTGTTCCATGAAGGGCAAACACATACACAGGGAAATGCCAAGAAAAACCCCAGATGTTTTACTTACCTTTTAAAAATCTATACTACTACAACAAACCCATTCAAACTGAATGGGGAAACGACAGAAATCTCATATTTTGGATATGGACTTATTCCAAAATACACTCTTGTTTTTCAGAATTATTATTCTGAAAGGACCCTCTCAAGGAGAACAAAATTACATCAGCACCTAATGCAAAAATCATGGTTAAGCACCACTGAGAACTGAAAGAGCAGCAGGTTTGTCTTTTGTAAGGACATGCAACAACTGAAGAAAAATACAGCAGGAACAGAAGCCCTGAAAAGATGCCTGTACAATCAAGTTAAATTCTGTGCATTTAAGTCTTCAGACAGAACCCAGAATAGAATAAATAGGTCTTAAAAAGAAAAAGCTACTGAAATTTACAGTATACAAGGAAAAAGAACAGAAAGTGTAGAGGCCAAAAAGCAATTACACCCCCCTAAAAAAAACGCAAAACCCAAACTTCTGTCTAAATTGGACTCATTTAAAAATACTCACCAAAAAATTCTGGTTATTCATTTAACTTCCATCAATATTTGAGCGCCTTTGTTTCTATGTTTCGGCCAAATCCCAAGGAGAAAATGACTACTAGTCAAGTGCAACATCAATATTAAACAGAAACCATTTCCACATTTGTAATTTTTATGACACTGTGTATTGCTTGCAAATTCCTTTAATCATTTAATGACAAATGTCTCTGCACAACAAATCAAGGGCAATCAGCTATCATCCCACAGATAAGTCATGTCGAAATATTTTAAAAAATTTATGTACTGTATTTTTTATATACATACATAAAAATAGAAATATAGTGTATAAAACACACAGTCAACAGTGAAAGTATTACTGTCACAGGCCAAAAGATTGCAATTAATGGATCACAGGAAAAAAACCCTGTTTCTCTACTTGTCCACGTGAAAGTCAACAGTGCTCAGCACCCAGGTCCACTCCCAGCTCTTTAAGAATCACAGAATGGCAGGGGTTGGAAGGCACCTCTGAAGATCATCTGGTCCAACCCCCCTAACCAGGCAGGATCACCCAGGGCAGGTTGCACAGGAACGCGTCCAGTCGGGTTTTGAAGGTCTCCAGAGAAGGAGACTCCACAACCTCTCTGGGCAGCCTGTTCCAGTGCTCCGTCACCCTCACAATAAAGAAGATTTTCCTCATGTTGAGGTGGAGCTTCCTGTGCTGCAGTTTATGCCCATTGCCCCTTGTCCTCTCACTGGGCACTACTGAAAAGAGATGGGCTCCATCCTCCTGACAGCCACCCCTCAGGTATTTATAGAGCCCCACAAACTTCTAGTTTTATAGTTAAAAAGTTTCTACAGTAAGGGTAGCCAGGCTCCAACGCAGGAAAGTGGGCAGCAACTGCCTTCCCTCTGCCCTGCCAAATAATCCCATTCGTAAGCTCGTGCTTCACCATATTAGGAGCCACAACACAAATTCTGACTGTGGGGAAATCCTCATCCGAAGAGACTGTCCTACTTTTAGGTGACAGATTTCTGTTGTTTACAGATTTGCACATGCACCATCCTCATCTGAGGAGACGGCCACAGTTTTAGGCACCACTTCTGTTGCCGTTCCATCTTCACATGATTTCTCTGACTCCCTCCTGCCCTCAAACCTGGTTCTACAACAGTGCAAATATACCTACCAGGCTCAAGAAAATCAGGTCAGCAAAAGTTATTGGTGTTCACCAGCTCAGAGCACACACGTGCATATTTCTCCTTCTCTGATACAATCGGGATGGAGACTAGTAACTTATTTTACTATGGCCCTTATCTTCAGATGATTTAGGAACTTCTTCTACACCACTTTCCTGTGACCAGCACTATCAGCTAGGAGAAGCTCTGGCTGGCTTTGGGAACAGCACAATTTGATGACTCCAGATTTGGAAGGAAAAGGCCATATTCTTCCCAAAGTCCTGTATGCACAGTCTTTGGGGGCTTTCCTGCTCAGAGATTAAGACTTGTGGAAAGCCTAATGCAACTCCCAACTCTGTGCTGAACTTTACTTCCCCACTTCATTGACCACATGTGACACAAATGTAGTGGATCCAGTAACATAGGAAAAGCTCCCACTCCCCAACATTAGTAACCACAGCATGTTTGAGGATGATCAGGCTTGGGAAGTCTCTAAACTACCAATTTCTAAAAAGCTGGGGGGGGGGGGGGGAGGGGGAAATCACTTTAAATTTGCCTTTTATGGTTTCCTCAGCTTCAATTTAGAGCTCTTATGGGTGAACTGTTTGAGTTTGTCCAAAATCATTCTGAATAGCTTTGGACTGAACTGATTTAGACTAAAATTATCATACACACCAGCTAAATCTCAGTCTACCTCAAAGCACCTGGTGACACATGTATGAAGACTTGATGAGCACTCTGCAGTTCAAGCGATACCCAGGACACTGGAGTTGTCTGGAGACAAAACCACTTTTGTACTCAAGGCACACACATTTCAGAGCAAACATAAGACACTTGTCATGTATGGCTTCAAAACTCCGGATGCCCACAAGGCATGAAGTCTGCTGCCTAAAACTAGCTACTCAAGGTTACCTCCTCCTGCCTGCCACCAGCCAGCTGGGACCACCTCCAGGCCCCTGCAGTCCCCATGACTGTCACCTCTACTTCTTCCAACTCCTGCAGTGGCTGCATGGGCTGCAGACCTACCTGTGTCTGACAGCAAGTTTGCTCAAGCCATCTACCCTTCCCATAGCAGAGCACATACAGAGGACACAGACATACACCTCAACTATAAATTGCTTCCTTTCACAAGGGAAAAAAAAACAAGGAGTTTGGTTTTCATGCAGGTAAAAGCTTGACTGACCCCAGTATTCTGGAGCATCTGCAGCCAAAGCTGCACTCTGGATGTGGAAAGAACCACCATCACTAGAAAGAACAAAGTGCCAGATCTCTGTGTGGCTGCAAGGACTGATCACCAGTTCTCAGCGACCACCTTCAGCATTCCAAAGCCACAACCACAACTCTCTGAAGTCATTAAATATTTTACCAGGCATTTGTCAAATGCTGCATCCTCTTCCTCTCCTTATTCCTGAATGGCAAGGTCCAACAGCACCACAGAAGACAGAAGTAGATGAAGCAGCATGTGACAAACCCCACCTGGAAGAAGCTGAACAGCCCTGACCTACGACAGGGAGCACTAAGGCATGTAGTGAAAACACATGATGAAAATTCAGATGAAACCATCTTGAAGTTTTCTCAAGGTTAAAACTTGCCAAGATTCAGAGCTTGAGAGACACTCTGCTGACTACAAGCCCACTCACCCGTCTAAACTCAATCCGTTTACATGGAGCGCTCTGATCTCTGCAACCAGAGAAAGAATAATAAAAGTTAAAAACCTTGCTTTTTCCTGTGTGAAAAAATGTTCTGATTACCTCCTTCGATATGATACATGTCACAATGCAGTGAAGGAGAATTTCAGGTCACATTAAAAGGAAATATTTACAGAATAGATTTTTTTCCTTCTTAGGAAAATTAGGGCTCACATTACAAGATTAATAAACTTATATCAATCCCAAAAGAAACGTCAAAATTCCTTTTCTCTTACAAAATGGATTTTATATGACCAAATTTAGAAAACAGCCACGATTAAAAGCAGAATGCAATTTATTGTTCTTCATATTTTCTCCATATGCCTGTGAGTTTGAGACTGAACTGGTATTACTGAGCGCAAAGTGCTAAGCCTGCTTCTATATATCAAGCTCAGGTACAACAGGTAATTTTAAAGATTTCATTCACTGACATAGGTCACAATTCCCTAGCTCCTTGATTTAACTTAAAATATCCTCATCAGTGAGCTTCATTGTATCAACCTTCTTTGTTGTTGGGGTTTTTCTGAGGATTTTACGGGAAGGGGCATCATCTCCCAGTTTCATTTTTCTCATGGTTTTGGCTCTCCCCTCCGTCCCACTCAGTTCATCGGCAGTTACTAAATGCTGCCAATTCTGATGTTTTCTGCCACAGACAACATTACGATGACACCAACTTCTGTCCACCACTGGGCTTTGTGGAAGAGGGGATTTCTGTTGAATTACACAGTGGTTCCCCGAAGCATCATCAACAGGCTAATGTTAACCAGACTATGGCAGATCAGCTTTTCACTGGATGTATTTTCATAGCTATCTGGCTGTTTTTCTTCAATATGGCTCCATGAACTCACTATGAGTCAACTACCAAGTATGCCAGGCGCCCACTCCAGCACACAGACCACACGGTAAAAAGAACATAAAACTACAAAGCCGGGACTCAGGATTTCTACCCCTAGTGCTTCCAGCTCAGTTCTCTATACTGCCTGAAGCACAGGGGATTTGCAGAATCACAACTTCAGTAAAAAGTTGGGTGAACGGTGATTGGCGAGAAACCAGTATTTAAAAATGATCCATGATCCAAAAAGCTTGGGAAGCACCAGTGTAATTAGCAAGCTGTGGACATGTGTGCAGGCTTGCCTAGTCTATAGTTATTTCTATCAGCAGCATGAAAATCATCTGTCCAACAGATCAGAGCATCATTGGTTCCAAGCCTGCAGAAGATACATGTGAAGAAGTGGCTATTTGTATAAAATGAGCATATTGTGGAGTAATTATTGGCATTGGGAAAACCTTGTAATTAGAAACAAGTGGGCGTTCTTTGTTTGTAAACAAATTGCATTTTGGTTCATCAGAGATGCTCCTTTAAGAACAAATTACAGCAGATGCTGCTTGTGTTTCCAGTGATTGAAAGGCCCCACCTGAATAAGCTACAAAAGGGTCACGATTGTATTTAACCCACCGCTCTCCTGGACAGGAATCCTGCTGGCAGGGGCTGCAACCACGCTCGCAGAGCGGAGCACCTCGGGGGCTGCTAATCCGTTACACAACCTGCTCCTGGTCCCCTTGCAGCTCCCGCCGGCTTCAGGAGGGGTGTGTGGCTGTTGCCACCTAGTACAAGGCTGGCCACGTTCCTGACTACAACTGTGCCCGGTTCCCCATGTCACCACTAAGTTGAATCCCTCAGGAGTACAAATTGTGATTTTGTGTTACAAGACCTCTCAACAGGATTTTGCATCAAAAATAGTGATGGAGTAGCCTATAGTGATGACAAAAAAATCCTTGCTGCAAGTATCGATGTACTGGCAAAAACCATTTTCCTGCTATGTGCACGCACACCCAGACTAAACAAACATCAGAAAGCAAACCGGAATGCTCTGCTCGCACCTCACATGAAAGATTTCCTACTTGGGGCCCATTTACAGTGGAAGCTTCACAACAGGAGATCGGGGGCAGAGTCACAATATTATTTGTTTTAAAAATGTCTGGTTGACAAGATGGCAGGTTTTTAAACTGATGTTTATATTTGTGTGAAGGTCAACATCCTTTTTGGATCTTGTTCTATTTTCTGTTTGTTAGCCATTAAGGACTTGGGTTTTTTTGTTTTGGTTTTTTTTCTGTTTTTAAATCAAGGGTTACTTTTTAAATAATACAGCATAGCAAAAAAAAAAAAAACACAATAGGAGGAAATGGGAAAAGTAGATTAAGCATGGTATAAACTCCACCACCAACATGGTACAAACACCACCACCTACTGTCCAAAGCAGGATGCTAAACCACTGGCACAGATTTAACCGAAAATTCAGAAAACGGACAGCAGCCCGAACTGGGACAGAAGGTGAAAGCATTCAGTGCCGAGCAGCTTACAACCCACAGCAGCCATGGGATTCATTATGACCAAAGGCTGGGTTAACTTGTTTTGTGCCAGGTTATAGTTTTGTGTTAATGGCAGCCATTGTGTTCTGAAGTTCAGCCTTCTGATCACCAAAGCTGCTTCACGTCGCTGTTTGCGGTGTCAGCTCATGTCAAAAGTTTAAACAAAAATGAGTAGGTCCACTTGCTGCGTCTTGGTGGATGATCATTTTGAATAGATTAAAAACAAAACTACCATTTTGTTTTAAATACCCTCCTCAACTTTAAAAAAAGACAAACAACTGGCATGTGTGCATTCAATACCCCTTTGTGCAGCACCTTTTTCAATTGTTTTTCAATGATGGCAATATGGGCCTTTCATACAGTAGCACAGAAACAGTCGCTTTTAAGTCACTTGTCTTGAAGATAGTTCCCTTTCATAGACATACCTCTGCATAGCACGATTATTAACTTCTTTGTGAAGACTAACAGAATTTTTTTTCCTTTTTTTTTTTTGGTATTTCTAAAGGCACGAGTGCTTAAAAGTGCGACTATTAAGCAACAGTCTCACCTTTGCTTAGGATCTTTCTTCAGCAAACCTGACAAGAGAGATTTTGCTTCAGGTGACAAAGTGCGTGGAAATCTAATCTCCTCCATTAGGATGAGTTCAAAGAGCTTTTCGTGATCCTGATTGTAGAAGGGGAGCCGGCCACACATCATTTCATACATCACAACTCCTAAACCCCACCAGTCCACTGCACGACCATAGTCATTATCTTCCAGCACCTGCAGAATGTAGGGA